TGCACTTCTTCAAAATTCCCTGAACTTCCAAGATTTTTGTTGATTTTCTGCAAAATCCCATAAAGTTCTACAACGTGTCTTCTGAAATTCTCTGTATTATTCCAAGTACAGTAAACATTGACAAAGTGCCCTGAAGTTAAAAAAAAAGGTTCCGGAACTTTATTGAAGCTTCCTGAAATTAAATAAATTTCCCAAAAACTTAATCCAAGTCCTACTTCTTCCCGAATGTTTGCAAAGCTCCCTGAATTTTCCAGAGTTCTTATTAAATTTTCTGAATTTCTACGATGTCTCCTGAGCATCCAAGCAATCCCTGATCCCCTAGACTTTCCCTCAATTTCTGCCAAACTTTCTGCATTTCTACGAAGTTTACTGAAGTTCAACGAAGCTCATTATGATTCTACAAAGTTATCTAAACCTCTCTAAAAAAAAAATTGCTCAACTATAAAGTTACGAAGTTCTACGAAGTTTCCCGGAGATCTACGAAGTTTTAGAAGATCTAAAACGATCCATGAACTTTCACAAAATTTTCTGAAATCAAAAGATGTTCTCTTAGCTTCTACGAATTATCCTTGATTTCTAAAAACAACAAGGGATAGCCCTACGGGGATGTACGCAATGATGACGTGGTCTTATATCAGTGGCGTTTCCTTAATCTCAATCTACCTGTGCACCAACTCTCAAAACATAAACAATTATCAATATAGGGTAGAGAACTACTTCGGTATAATCGCCCATTTTGGGCCTATCGAGCATAAAACTTCAAATAAATCCATGATTTCAGAGTTAAAAAGTCCATTATGCATTTGGTACGATACTTTAGTTAATAAGCTACCGAACGAAGACAATGAAAACGCGTGATATGAAGGTTTGCACCCATTATTCCCAAAAACAAAAGAAGCGCTCCGACCGAATCATTTTTTTATCTTCATCCGATAGGCCGAAGTGAATTCATTGGCGTTTCAATGCGTTAGGCCGAGCTTAGAATCCGTAGGCCGAGTTTTGAATCCGTAGGCCGAGTTTGGCGTCAAGAAGTAGTGTTAAACGTTTGAAAATATCGCAACGATTGGTTTCAATTTTTCAACTTTTACGATACGTACGGAAAGGTAAATAAATTTGGAAGCCATCAGTAATAATAACATTGCTTGCAATGTATACATATCGAGTTAACTAGAAGATTAAGTGTATTTTTCAACCGATTCGAGTATGAATACGGCACTAAATCAGATTTTGAAAATTGGTGCACAGGTAAAAAGTGAGGTTACGGGACGCCGCTGTCTTATATAATGAATCTTATTTGTTAACTGCAGCAGGAGCTTGTATTTTGTGTAGGAATAGGACTCTATGGATGCTCATGTGGGACGCAGCTCGCTGCTTGCAGAAATGCAGGCAGTCTTTCGTTGTGTACTGGAAGACAATGTTCAACACCACGCACCGAATGCATTGCTGCTGCTGCTGCTGATGCCAACGACCGGACACCACCACACACGGTGATTGGAACTGCATCCGATTAGTGGTTGAGGCCAACCATGATAGCTAGCTGCTTGTGGGAAGCCTTTCGTTGTGTACTGGAGAACAGTGCCACTCACCACACGGTGATTGAATAAACACCGTTTGGTGAGACCGGATGGAATTCAACTTTGAAATCTGTGTTAGGGAAATCGATTTTCGCAGGCAATCGGTGATAATTTTGATTATCATAGCAACAGTTACACATTCGGGTAATTTTAAATTGTGACATTTTGAAAAATGATAAAATATTCAGATGCGTAGACATATTTCTGGTCGATTGGTGATAAAATTAATGAAATTTGTCCAGGGGCAGCTGAGTTATTAACGTTCAAAATCTTTCATAATTTTGTTGCATGTTCCATTTTCGGTTTTCACCAAATGTACCCCCATATAGAAATCAATGTGAAGATTCAGTTTTATAAATTTGAAATCTTGAACACCTTCCCCAAATTTTAAAAACCTGTGAAGACATTTCGTAGATTTCGGTGAAGATATTGCCGATATACACCTGGCATCCCTGGCTTGAACATCCGGATACATTGGTGTTTCGTATGAAATAGGTTCAAAGGAGGCTGATTAGGGTTTTCAGCGCTCTTAAATTTCCTTAAAGTGGTCTCCGAATGTCAGGTGACAACACTTTCTAGCAGCTGATGCATCATTTCAGGGAGATCGGTAGGAAGTTCTTGAGATCTTGCAACTCAAACCACCAGGTGATGTTTTGAGAATTCCCAGACCATTCTTTGTTGAACAGCTGTAGGAGGGATGTCACTTCTGAAGGAGGTATCGCACTTCTGTTTAGTGGTAGTTCAAGTTTGGAGAGCCGGACTGGCTGGTGGTTTGCGTTTGAAATCAGATAATCTCGGGTCATGAACGTTGTAACCGCAATGTAGTCCCATCGTGATTTTATTTAATGTACTGTGAACTTAACTAACCGTTCACCAATTCCAAGCGTTAGTTTTGTTGGCTGACCAAGTGTTTCTTTAAATATACTGTAAGTTGTATGCTATCTCGAAGACACAAGCCACCACTGCGCCACCTATTTTCTGACCCGGTAGTTAATGCCCCATATTTAGAATTTAAATCAATTGCGTCGTAGAGAGTTGAACAGATTCTGGGTATTATATTATTAAAACAATAAACGGCTTCGTTTAATCTCTCTGTAATCGACCAATAGGAGGAAATTGCGCAGTAAAATTTAGGTTGTACCCAATCTATCCGGCGTCATCTTGTTCAATTGTGTGGAGTGCTTTGAAGAGATAAGTCGAAGATATTTTGAAGTGGTTTAAAAATTGTTAAAAGGTGATAATTTAAAAAAAGTAATAAACGGTTAATTAAGCTCGAAGTAAGTCTTCGCGCGTTTATTAGTAGTACTTTTTTTATGTTTTTAACAGATTTTTTTTAGTACATTTTCGAACATTAGCGACCAAATTTTGTCGAGCGAAATAGTGTTCGTAAAGAACGTTTAATATCTGTGAATTCTAAAACTACGAAATTCAGGTAAGCCTAATAAGTGTGCGAATAGTGAGCAAATTTATAAAATAAATAATCCGCGTTGAATAGGACAATTGTGCCCAAGCAACGTGGGCGGTTAGTGCGGGTTCGTACAGGAGGTTCGCCCAGGAGGCTAGTACCGGACTCAAGCAGTGCCTGAATTTTCGGATTGGCTTTCGGTTTGCTCTTTTGCCCAGTGTGCAGCGAAGACACCGAAGTATATTTTGAACCGTTTGCCAGCGGTTGCTTGCGAATTCCGACCAGTTCACCATCCGTCAGACCCTGGCTGTGCAATATCTTCCGTTCGTCGTATCACAGTGTTTTCGCAAGGCAATAAGTCGCAAGGTGTCGACCGAGCTAAATTCTGGCTGGTAACTCCACGCACAGTGGGGACGCATTTACCCCGAAATATACACCGGCGTGCGAAACACGTGAGTAGACCCACTACGGCTAGAGCCCGAAGCCGCCAACTCGTTGGTGACGACCAACGGAACAGAAAGGTTTTATCGAATGAGAATTTGGCATCTTGTATCGTGGGATCCTAACTACGAGGGACGTCCGACGCGGGAGCTGCGAAGAAGTTAAAGGTCAGATCTGAACAGTTTGTTGCTCACAATACACTTTAGCACTAGATTAATTTAAACTCTAAAAACTAATAAAGTGTGACGTCACCTTAGGGCATTAGGTTTGCTTGAATTCGAAATAAATTTAGCTCTGAATTCGAACTTTACAATTTCAAATATCGGTTGAGCTTGATGAATTTAGTCGTTTTGAATTACGCGAGCGATTAATAAATAATAAATTACTTCTAGTTTAGTTGTAGCTCTCCACTTTATTTCGCGTCACGCAATAAAACTTTAAATAATAATTAGATTGGTTTAAGTTTATTATTTCCTTAACAATCCCCCTATGATAGATAATAGAGTTGTCTTTTTAGTATTTTTCTGATTTGATGTAAATATTAGTTGAATTTTGTTTGATTGCCGTACGACGTTTGGGTTTAAAAGTGAGACCTCTGATTCTGGGACAACTGTGTAACCTGTCCTGAGAAGGCAGTTTCATCCCGGGCAATACTACCTGAGTAATGGTCCTTCTTCTGAAGGTGGCGCATAAATCGTTTACTTTGTGGGAACAGAAAGGAGCGTTACAACTTTTAGGGGATTGTTTTGTTAGGTGAATCTGTGGTTACTCTCTGATGCCAGCTAAAACAGGTCTACTGGACGTTGGCTATCAACTAACTTAGCAATCGTGTTTCAGAATAACATTTGATTTTTGGCTGGAAAAGATGATTGAACTTAAATTTTCCCCGAACGGCAAATCGGCATTTATAATCGAACTCAATTCCAACCGGTATGCTGCAGAGTTCCCCTTCATCCAAAAGATTCCCTAGAATCTATCACCATCCGATTTTTGCAGCAAACAATCAATGTCCGTGAATAAAGCTCCCTGGGAACCATTTGGACGGGATTTTATCGCTCAATCAACTACCGAACTAAATCGAATCAGTTTTCGCTGGGCGCGCTCCTTCAGCTGGAAACTCTCGGAAGCCTCGGAAAAACAACTCCGTTCCGTCGATGCTGGCGACCGATCCCCGGCATTTGGCTATTACACTTCACAAAATTGATTATCTCCACACTATCCAGCTTGCCATGTAGTGCTAGGCCAGGGACTACTCGCTTAGACTCGTAAAAAGTTATCCTAGCTCGTTTATAACAACATTAGTTTATTCATAGGGGGGAGGGTTGAGGGTACACAGTATCCCATCACTCGGCATCCATTCTGAAAAAAAAAAGCTGGTTCCGTCATGGGGCTAAAATAAAAACAAGGCAGCCCAAATTCGATCCGTATTACCTCGCATAGTTCAGCATCAGCTGCTGGTAGCACTGACTGGTAGCAGCAGCGAGATTTATGCCACCCAAGCATCATGCGATTTTGCCAAGAATATATAGTGACTAACGTTAAACCTTTCTCTCTCTGCTTCCTTTCTAATCAATTTACAGGCACCCTAGTCGAACGTTTACAGGCAATCGATTTGGATACGGGCATCAACGCCGAGATCAGGTAAATATAAATTTAGCGATTTCCAGAGCTTCGAACGGGTGACGGCGCGCGCTATGATGCTGTATGCATGAGCTTTACTAGGTATTTGTGCGAAACGTCGCGGAAGGGCATAAACAATGGTTGGTACTTGGGGAGGCCCTCTGACTCAGCTCAAGGCAAAGCCTTCATAGCATCCGTTTTTTGAAAATCTTTCCAGAACAACCCTACGGCTGAAAAGAGTTCCCGTACAATTTTCGCTCTGATCTAAAAAGCTTCCTTCCTGTCGATTGTGTGCCGTTCACCGACGCTTTGTTTACGTTTTCTGTTTGCAGCCTCTCTATCGTTGGCTACAGGCAATAAAAATAAATTTTTAGAATAACTTGATTATTTCGGCGTCATGTATCGTCGTCGTCGTCCTCCTCGACTACGATACAGCTCATCCTGTTTGTGCTCGTTCCAACGAAACACCTCTGGAGTGACTGCCAGCTCTGTATAGGAGGAAGGAGGTACGTGTGTCAATATTCCAAGAATAATCGATCCAGGATAAAATTGAAAAAAATCTATTCCGATGATTGTCGCAAACGATATTAGTCTCGTTTGAAAATGGTGCTATGCGGTAGGTATATGAAGCGAAATTTTTGGGAGGACAACGAACGATGCATAGAAAAAAAATCTGAATTTTAATGGTAAAGGTGCAGCTACAAAAGCAAGACCATGCTGGAGGTGGCTGTGTTCGATCCCCGGTCTGGTCTAGAAATTTTTCGGGTTGAAAAATTTCTCGACTTCGCTGGGCAGCGGAGTATGAATGTACTTGCCACACAATTATACTAATGAAAAAATGGGACAGGCATCGAAAGCTCTCAATTATTAACTGTGGAAGTAAAATTATTGACTGCCTAGGCTGAGTGTGAAAGCACTGCACTATTCAATCCATTGCTCTGTGCAGACCGTTTGTACCAAACGGTAAAGGACGAGACGATGAAAGAGCCAACAAAAACATTCAGTCACTCACGAGCAGGCGACGCACACCGCTTGCCTTCGCTCACACAGCATGTCGCCACAAACAACAGTAGTGACATCTGATGGCAAGCGCGGAAACCATTTCCTTTGGTTAATTAACCAAAGGAAATGGTTTCTGCGCTTGCCATCAGATGTCACTACTGTTGTTTGTGGCGACATCTGAGTATAAACTGCTTTTTGTAAGTTGCTAACAGAGGACAAGGTTTTCAGCAATCATAGAAATTCTTTTCTCAGACTTCAAAATAGAGTACCTGACACTGTAAAGCACGTCTGGTGCCTCTATATGTGCATTCAGATTCTCATCCGAAATCATAACACACAAAATGAGACATAGGAAGTGTTTGTTTTGTCCTACTTCGGATGTTAATCTAAATTCATAACAAGACAAGTTTTTCAGTGCCAGGTACTATGGAGTTGAACTAGCCAGGTGTCTAAAATTCTCCTTAAAAAGCTTTGAAAAAAGTGCTATGTACTCTATTCTGCAGTCTGTGCGAGGGAAATCACAAATCCTGTATCATCAACATACATAACATAGTTGAAGATGCCAATTTTCAAATAACAGACATAAAGTGGTCATTTAATACGATCGATGAGGAGATGAAAGTATAGAGTTGATAGTTCCGTTAGAGTACAGTAGAATTTCCCTCACCATCCCTCTCCAACGGGGGAGTTTGGTAAAGAGAGATGATTATTCCGATTCGTACCTTCCTCTAAGTTGTCCTTGCTCGCTTTATACTCTCTATATACTATTTTCACACTGCCGTACTCTAACGGAACTATCAACTCTATACTTTCATCTCCTCATCTATCGTATTAAATGACCACTTTAAGTCTGTTATTTGGAACTTGGCATCTTCCACTAACTTCGTTAACTTCACGCAGAAATAATACAAACATAAGTATAGTTAAAATGCATAACATGTTGAGATATTGAGCTCGTGCCAGAGAGGATTTGTCGATGTTTACATGTATGAAGTCATGTACCTTGAAATATATGGGCTTGGAATCTGAGAATGTTTGGAAATTTTTCGTTGTTGTTCGATTACACTATAATTACGGCACTAACTTCCATCATTTATGGATGTACATACTGGCAAAAACGAATATTTTTGGGCATCTGCTGGCAGTACCCGTTTTGCAGATAAATGTGAAATTGTCAAGTTCCCATCATGGTTTCTATATATAGATAATGGAGACAACGGAACGGTCCTCAAAAAATCCGGAACATTCGTAAAAGTGGTCAATCCATGAACCTGATCCTAGAGCTCTGCGTTTTTTTTTTTTTTGAAAATATTAGGAACTGTGATATAAAAAATATTTGGGGTCGTGACATAAACATGTACCTGGATGGCCATGGGACTGTCCTCCGGAAGATCCGAAATATCCGTAAAAGTAGACAATCCAGGAAACTGATCCTAGAGCTCCGCATTTTTTTTAACATTAGGATCTGTGATATAAGAATGAATTTGGGTCATGGACCAAGATGGCCATCGGACTGTCCAGCGGAAGATCCGAAACATCCGTAAAAGTAGTAAATCCACGATCCTGATCCTAGAGCTCCGCGTTTTTTTATAAACATCAGGAACTGTGATTATAGAAAGAATTTGGGTTTGTGACATAAACATGAACCTGGATGTCCATGGGACCGTCCTCCTTAAGATCCGGAACATCCATAAAAGTGGTCAATCCATGAAACTGGTAGAGCTCCATGTTTTTTTAACATTTGGATCTGTGATATAAGGATGGATTTGGGTCATGAGCCCAGCGGAAGATTCGGAACATCCGTAAAAGTGGTAAATCCACGATCCTGATCCTAGAACTCCGCGTTTATTTTTTTTTTCATTAGGAACTGTGATGATAGAAAGAATTTGGAGTTGTGACATAAACATGAACCTGGATGTCCATGAGACCGTCCTCCGGAAGATCCGGAACATCCGCGAAAGTGGAAAATTCACGAAACTGATCCTAGAGCTCCGTGGTTTTCTTGAAAATGTTAGGAACTGTGATATTAGAATGAATTTGGGATCGTGACATAGACATGGACCCAGATGGCCATCGGACTATCCTCCGGAAGATCAAACAAATCCGTAAAAGTGGTCAATGTATGGAACTGTTTTTTTCGAAGCTCCACGGTTTTTTTTTCGAAAACACTTGGAACTGTCATATATAAATTAATTTGCAGTCGTGACATAAACATGTAGCTAGAAGGCCATGGGACCGTACTCCGCAAGATCAAGAACATCGAAACTGATCTTAGAGTTCTACGGTTTTTTCTAAAGCATGTGGAACTGTGATATTAAAATGAATTTGGGATCGTGACATAAACATGGACCCAAATGGCCATGGGGCCATCCTCTGGTAAGTCCAGAACATCAGTAAAAGAGGTCAATCAACGAAACTGATCCTAGAGCTCCGCATGTTTTTCCAAAAACATTAGGAACTGGGATATAAGAATGAATTTGTGGTCGAGACATAAACATGTACCTAGATAGCCATGGGACCGTCGTCCGGAACAACGACAACATCCGTAAAATGGTCACTCCATAAAATTGAGAGTTTTTTTTCTTTCAAGTATGCCCTCGCAAGGCAGTGCCTGATGACCTTATTTCTGGTCTTGCTTTAAAATCCTTCCCAAAGAATTTTCTGTGATTCAACTACATCACTTATTGTTGACTCTTTTCGACAATCAATTTGTACGTCTTCTCTAAGTATCGTACCTTGTTCTCCTCTTAAGGACTCTTTGTGATCCAAGCGATCACTTATTGCTGCCTCTTTTTAGGCTAGCGCTTTTCACGTTCCCTCTAGGGATCGCACTGTGTCCTTCTCTTAAGGACTGTTAATGATCCACTTGATCACTGTCTGCTGCCTTTCTTTAGGCTAACAATTTTCTTTCTTTTTTTAAACAATCAGGTTGATTAACTTACCGACCTTTAGATCGTCAGACTGCAGTGCCACCTTTGATTTCTTCTAACCTGAATTATTACACGGCTTTCTAATGTCACTTATAGCCTTTTGCTTGATTGACATTTCACAGTTCTTCAGTTGAGTGTTTCCAGGTTTATTTTTATTTAAATAACCACTTTTAGATTTCAATTATCTGGCACTGTCAAAACTGTCGCTTGAATGTTCGTGAATAGTCAATCACTTGAATATCTTCAAGTTTCACTTGAAAGTCTGCAACCACTTTAACTTTAGCATTTGAGAGTCAGTTGCTCTGGAACCTATTTCTTGACACCACAATGACGCGTAAACTTACTAATGTGTTGTTCAAATACGCGTTCCTTGGCGGTTCCACGCCACCGAGTAATTTCAAACACTTTGGTGTCACAGTATTCTCCTCTCAAGAGTGGTCTTCGTAGGCAGTTTTTGTACTCTACACTGTTTTTCACTACTTTCAATTGTAGCTTCCTCTCTTTAGCCACCATAAATGTAACTCGGTGTTCGCGAACTACGTACTTACCGTGCGAAGGTTAAACGTTTCGAATTAGTCCGCGAATTCGCGATTACGGACATACTCTTTTCACCAAACGAATTCTCTTCTAGATGCTTGCAATTCTTAAGACTCAGTCGTCTTACTCTAAACCTTTCAGACTGGCAGGCTAGTATACCTAGTACCTGGCGGAGGAAGTCAGAACAAACGAACTTCTCCAATTCTACTAATATACGACGAAATGACACAACACCTAAGTGCGTAGTCTACAATCGAAGGGAGATTAGTGGCTTGGCCTAACCAAGGGTTCTTCAATAATGAGAACGAAGTTGGTTTGAAAGGTATTACTATGACGAGCACCTCAACGGTGATGCAGCAGAAAACGAAGGTGGCACGGCAACATACCTTGGAGCACGCGCAGAAGACGACAGGCTACCGGCCCCTGATCTTCAAGTAGTTGATGAGGAGATCGGTCGGCTGAAGAACAACAAAGCAACTGGTGTAGATCAACAACCAAGTGAGCTATTAAAATACGGTGGTGAAGTACTGGCTAGAGCGCTGCACTGGGTAA